GCTAATACGAGATGGTAAAGTGATAGCGTATGCATCGAGGCAATTAAAACCACACGAAAAGAATTATCCAACACACGATCTGGAGATGGCTGTAGTAGTGTTCGCTCTTAATATTTGGCATCACTACTTGTATGGTGAAAGATGTTATTTATATACAGATCACAAAAATTTAAAGTACTTGATAACTCAGAAAGAGTTGAATTTAAGATAGAGAAGATGAGTGGAATTTCTCAAGGACTATGATATTGTGATTGATTTCCATCCGGGAAAAGCAAATGTGGTAGCGGATGCTTTAGCCGAAAGACGTTTACAGCCTTACGAGCTATGGATGCTAGACTATAATTAAGTGAAGATGGTGTTATTTGTGCTGAATTGAATCTCAAGCCATCATGGGTAGATCGAATTATAGAATTACAAGCTGGTGATGAAAAATGTTCAAAGAAGCTACAACAAATAAGAAATGGAGAGTGTGCAGATTATGAGATGAAAGCTGATGAGAACCTATATTATCAAGGGAGGCTAGTGATTCCAGATGATGATAAATTAAAGAATGATCTATTAACGGAAGCTCACTGTAGTCCATTAACGATGCACCCAGGAGGAAACAAAATGTATATGGACCTCAAGAGTCGATATTGGTGGCCTAGAATGAAGAAAGACATTACATAATTCGTATCTAAGTGTTTGACTTGTCAGCAAATCAAGGTTGAGCATCAGGTTCCATCGGTACTATTAACACCAATGCCAATTCCTCAGTGGAAATAGGGGAATGTAACAATGGATTTTGTAATTGGGCTACCTTTAACTCCAAACAAACGAGATTCAATATGGGTGATTGTAGACATATTGACTATGTCAGCCCATTTTGTTCCGGTGCGAGCTGATTTCTCTATGGACAAGTATGTCGAGTTGTATATAAGAGAGATTATACGGTTGCATGGTGTACTTGTTTCTATAGTTTCTGATCGAGATCCTCGATTTACTTCTAGATTTTGGAAGCCATTAAATGGAACATTGGGAACTCGATTGAATTTTAGCACATCATTTCATCCATAGACTAATGGACAATCTGAGCGAACGATCCAAATCCTAGAAGATATGTTGAGAGCTTGTGTAATTGAATTTAAGGGATCGTGGGAAAGATATTTGCCACTTGCCGAATTTTCCTACAATAATAGCTATCAGTCGAGTATCAAAATGGCACCCTATGAAGCTCTTTATGGGAGGAAGTGTGGTACGCCTTTAAATTGGTCCGAGCTTAAAGATAGAGAAATCATTGGTCCTGAGTTGATTCAGGAAGTGGAAAAAAAGGTTCAAGTAATTCAAAATAACCTCAAAACAACAGTTGATAGACAGAAATCATATGCAGATTTAAAAAGGAAGGAGATAGAATATCAAGTTGAAGATAAAGTGTTTTTAAAAATGTCTCCATGGAAGAAAGTTTTAAGGATTGGCCAAAAAGAAAAGTTGAGTCATCGGTTCATTAGATTCTATGAGATCGTAAAAAGAGTGGGAACAGTGGCATATCAACTAGCCTTGCCACCTGAAATAGAAAAGATTCATGATGTTTTCCACGTTTCAATGCTTCAGAAATATAGATCATACCTCTCTCATATCGTGTCACCAGAAGAGATAGAGGTTCAACCGGAGTTAACGTATGAGGAAGAACCTGTTCAAATACTAGCTCACGAAATGAAACAACTAAGGAATAAAACTATTCCTTTGGTCAAAGTGCTATGGAGAAATCACAAGGTAGAAGAAGCAACGTGGGAACGTGAAGAGGATATGAGGCATCAATACCCCCATCTGTTCGTGCAAAGAAAATTCGAGGACGGATTTTCTTAAGGGGGAGATTTGTAACATCCTCAATACCAGGTTAGTGATTTAAGTGTAAGATTTTTAAATTCAATGACCAAATTAAATAAATTGAAAAGTGAATGAATTAATTGAAAGATGTTGGTGTAGGATTAATTAGCAAATGAAGGAAGAGTAAAAGGGTCATTGAACAAGGGGATGAATAAAATTTTAAATGAGGTTATATTATAAACCCACGTGGGGCTTATGTAGGAAATAAATGTTTCCAGATTTCTCTCATTTCTTCTTCCTTCTTTCTTCATCTTCTTCTCCCAAACGTGAAGCACCCAAGCTCAAGGTAAGAATTTGAATCTTGGTTGTTTCTTTGATTTTTGGTTTGGTAATGGAAGTTTGGATGTTATATAAGCTAAAGGAAAGCTTATATGTCATTAAAACAACAAGATAAGTGTTTTAGAGATGGATTTGAAAAATGGGTTTTAGATGAACTTTTGATATGGATGAGTTTTTGAAGTTTGAATAAGATTTTTGACTTGTCAAGAGGTTAATTAAGGAATATGGAGTGTTAGAATTGGATTTAAAACATGTTGAAAAATTTGGGATAATTCTTAGCTTTAAGAATTTGAATGAAGTATTGGAGATAATAAGGTGTGTGAATGATAGAAGTTAGTTAAAATGGTTGTAGTTGAATTTAGTGGTATGAAAGGAGTTTTGTATAAATTCAGTGATGAGTTGACGAATTTTGGGTGAAAATTTCCAGAACGTAATAGGGGAATTGATAGCCTCACAGTAGGGAACCAATTCCACCCTAAAGGAAAAATGAAATATTAATTCCTTAAATTTGTTTAAGCTATTAGAGGTTAATTGCAAGGTTTAGGCTTTTGATAATTGCCTCGGAAATTATATTTATGTAGATATCGAGCCTAAACGAGTTCCGGAACAATCGAAGGATTAGAATCGAGTCAGAGTAAGCAAGGTTAAGGTGAGTGCACATACTAGATAGAATTGTATGGAGGTAAGGCTTGCGATAAGTCTATCTCTGGTAGTTGAATTCATGATTTCATATTCATGTACATGCATACATATATATATATATATATATATATATATATATATATGATACAATGATTTCATGCATAATTCATTTATGCTTAAATATGATATTATATGAAATAATGCAATTGTTAGAGAATCAATCCAGGTATGTAAAATAATGAAAGTGATTATAAATATGCATGTGAAGTGAATTATGTGTTTATATGAAAAGTGATGAAAAATATATGAAAATGAGAAATGTATTCATATTTAAGCCCATGTTATTGAATATGAGAGCTGTAGATATAATTGGCATGCCAAGAGTCGAGGGATATACAGTGGTCATTCGGGACATAGTGGTCCTTCGGGATATATACAGTGGTCCTTCGGGACATAGTGGTCCTTCGGGACAAATATTCAGTGCCCTTAGTGGGAATTTATTCGAGCTGTGGTGACAACATTCGTGCACAACCTCAGTGTACTCATTTACCTCTTGCTCTCAATAATGTACATGGGCAATACAAAGATAAAGTGAAGTGAAACTTGCATAAGACGATAAATTTCATATATGCATGACATGATCATATATGTTGTAGTATAATGGATACATGCATGTTATAATGTTATGATTGAACGATAAGAGTGCATGTTTCATGAATTCATCGTTATATATTTAATTATGCCTCACTAAGTCGATGACTTAGCGTGTAAGTGATTTACACGTAGGTACCAAGAACCAAGAATAGTAGAAATAGGAGTGGCAAGAACAATAACACTGCTAGAAGATCAGATCAGAAATAACTAATAAAGTATGTATTTTGATTGTATATAGTATGTTGGCATGTAAGAAATGTTTTAGTAAGAACGCTCTGATCGACTTTTCTAATGTTTTGAACGTAGTTATGTAAATGTAAACGTATAGTAATGAACGGTTAAATTTTTACGAATTTTATGTACGTTTTACGAAAGTTACTGTAGCAGTGCATCGATGCACTGTAGCAGTGCATCGATACAAAATTTTGCTTCGATATTTTTGTGCATCAATGCACTGTAGCAATGCATCGATGCACTGTAGCAATGCATCGATGCACTGTAGCAATGCATCGATGCACTGTAGCACTGTTCAGGGTACTGTTCATACCGTATTTTACTATTTATAAATACGTTTTTGTCTCAAAATTTTATAACAAACGTTATTTAATAGTATATTATCGTATTTTCTTAAAATAAGTTCAAATATTTTGTTATTTGATAAGAATATTGTTTTAAAAAGGCAATGTGACATCTCGAACTCGTATTCGGGTCGGGTACGTGTTGGGGGTGTTACAAATTCTTTCATATAATTTCTAAATTTGACTCCTCAAATTAAATTTTCTAACTCCTTTCTTGTTTACATTCTTGGTGTGTGCGTGACACGAATCTCATTCATAATTTCAGTATTAAGATATTAGAAGATGTGAATTATCGAAACTATGTGACATCTAGTTATATCATGATACATACATGTATATTTGTGGATATACAATTCGAGCTACGTGACACCAATATATTTCTTCTGCAATTTATACATAACCTATTAAGCTATCTAAATTCATAGAGAGTTTGTTAACTTCCAAAAACGATAAAGAATTCGTCTTTTAATTAGTTTGGGTAAACTATAAATTTGGTAACTGAATTTTACTTTATCCTATTTTACTTCTTGTATTTTAATTTTTTTTTAAATTTTTTCATTAAACTTAATACATTGAGTTTTCTTGATCACTCATTCATTAAAAAGATAACAACGTTAAAATATATTATTATATAGATGCAAAATGATGTTGTTTTAGTATTTTTTTTAAATGGCGTCATTTTTAATAGTGTTAATTATTTAACAGTAAAGTGATCAAAATAAGAAATAGAGTAAAGTTCAGTAACAGAAAAAAAAAAACTCAATGTATTAAGTTTAGCAAGTAAATGGAAAACTTTTAAAGTTCAGTGAAAAAAATAGATGAAAAGTAAAGTTTAGTGATGAAATTTGTAATATATCCACTAGATTTTTTATGTTTTAAAATTTTGTTTTCATTTGTTAGGATTTCTTTGATTTTTCTTCATTGACCGGTTCTTATAATATCTCCGGTCGCCGAACAGAAACACTAATCCGCCAGCACCCCTTGAATGATGCCATCGTATGAGAGCAGAATCATTCACTTGATAAACGCCACCACTTCTCCTTCCCACATTCGTCAGATCCAATCTCAATTCATTCACCGAAACCTCCTGAAAAACCACTTCATTACTCAGCATTTCATCAATTCCTGCAACTCTTTAGGTCTTTTAAACGAAGCCCACGCCCTCATCCTCTGTTCAAAACCACCCTCTCATGTCTTCCTTTACAATACCCTCTTCAGATCCTTATCCCATTCTAAAACCCCACATCTCCCTTTTGCTTTATACGCCCATATGCAAAGAGCCTCACTTTCCCCTAATAACTACACCTTCCCTTTCCTTCTCAAGTCATTAGCCGATTTCCAGGAGCTCCAGAAAGGACAAATGGTTCAGATCCATGTCATAAAATTGGGTCATTCCCGTGATATTTATATACAAAATTCCCTGATGAATCTATATGCATCGTCTGGTGAAATGGGTTTATGTCGCCGAGTGTTCGATGAAATGCCTGACCCAGATGTCGTTTCGTGGACTATTTTGATTACGGGGTTTAGAAATGCTGAGAAATATGATGCTGCTTTGATTGCTTTTGAGCATATGCAGTATGCAGGTGTGGTGCCTAATAGGGTAACTATGGTGAATGCATTGGCTGCCTGTGGCGGTCTCGGTGCTTTCAAAATGGGAGTTTGGATTCATGATTTTATAATGAAAAAAGGATGGGAATTGGATGTGATTCTAGGGACTGCTTTGATTGATATGTATGGGAAATGTGGGAGGATTGAAGAAGGATTAAGGGTTTTCCATAGCATGGAAGAAAAGAATAATTTTACGTGGAATGCAATAATTAACGGTCTAGCTTTAACTAAAAATGGTGAGCTGGCGGTTTGGTGGTTTAATAGGATGGAACAAGAAGGGTTTAAATTTGATCATGTAACTTTAATTGGGGTTCTTTCGGCTTGTGGCCATTCGGGTTTGGTTGATACGGGTCGCCAAATCTTTAGGTTCTTAGTTGAAGGGAGATATGGATTCTTGCCTGGGGTAAAACATTATGCATGTATGATTGATCTCTTGACACGTGCAAGATGTCTCGACGATGCTTTTAAACTTCTCAAGGAAATGCCTTTCGAGCCTACGAAGTCCATTTGGGGGTCATTGCTGACCGGTTGTAGAAGTCATGGTAATTTGGAACTGAGTGAGATAGCCGCAAAGAAACTCGTGGAGTTAGAGCCGGATAATAGTGCTTACTATGTTGTTTTGTCCAATCTGTATTCAGATATGGGGAGATGGGATGATGCTGAGAAAGTGAGAACGCTGATGAAAGAGAGAGGGATGAGGAAGGGCCTTGGTTTTAGCTCTGTGGAATGGGAATCCCAGGAACAAGTGTCTGAAGTATATTAGCACAGTGAATCACCTAAATTATATGCAAGAATTGTCTTACTGGATTCCTTTGATTCTCATTAAAACAGAGAGGTATGCTTTGCTTCGGCCATGTTCCTGTCCGGTTGAGGTTGGCTTCTCCTGAAAACTATTTAGCCAAGGAGGGTAAATTCTAATATGATCAACTGACTCCTATATGGCAATCAACTGTGGTCTTTGCATCTGTTTGGAAGAAAGCACTCAAGCAGTCTGCAGTGTATATCAAGAAATCATCAAGTCTCATTCGGCAGTCTGCCAATTATGTGCAACATTATTTCTTCGAGGTAACATGATAGAGACATATTGGTTCGAAAATTTCCATGCATGAGAAAATATATAGTTACATTGCTAAATATCCTGATGCCTGTTATAAAAATATATAGTTACATAGCTAAATATCCTGATGCCTGTTATAAAAATATATAGTTACATAGCTAAATATCCTGATGCCTGTTAAAAAGGATAATGAGAAAGTTGCATATTACAAGCTTATGAAACTAACAAATCAATATTTAGATGAGGCTTTTTTACAGAATGGACTGATGGTTTTTTCGATCATTTCAAGCGATAAAATGATCTTGTCGAGGACTCAAACTAATGGTGTAAAAGCCACTCCCTCCCAAGACATGCACTGAGATGTCAGAGATATAATTGAATCATATATGTTGAAAAAGTAACAAATACCTTTTTATGACAGGCTTCAAAAGGAGGAGTTCGAGTCTTTATATGTACAATTGATTCATTGCAGTATAGTGTGCCGGATAAAAAGTGACAGCTCTGCTAGGATCAGATGTTTAAGCTCTTCACAGGAAACAACCAAGGCCAAGGCATGTATATTGTGAATACTATCAACCATACAAACATCGGTTTTATCTCAATGATTGACCTTGTGATAAGACTTACCATTCAATGCCATACCATGGGGGTGAACGCAAATAAAGTTTCCAATTTCTAGGTTAACATTGGTGCATATTCTTTGATTGAAAATAACGATTGCTTTTTGTCCTTCATTCTCCAATCTTTTAGGGCTCTCTGGCTGCAAAAATCCCTGCACCAACAGAAAAATATGACTTCAGTTTCAGAGTTTTTGATCTAATGCAGTGGGAAGTCCTGCAACTCTAAACTTCTTTATGGTTTCAAACCTCTATGGTCTTGACGAAAGAGCAATAACAGACAGTCAGCTTCACATCCAAATCTCTTGAAACAATATTCACGGTAATGCTGCCTGCTTGTTTCTCTGAGAAATAAGAAAATAAAGAAGAAATAAGAATTAGCAATGTGTAAAAACACAAACAACCTATTTTTGTTGATCCATAATGTGATGTAGTCCTTGTAAGTCAATTTCCTTCAAATTTTGATAAGGTAAGGTGAACAGTAACATGGCTATTACCCTTTTTCGATTTGCTCTGTTCTGCTATGCTGTGATGTATATGTTTTAAATAAAATTTTAACCAACAACTTACGACACAAGAACTATAATGACAAAAGATGAATACAATTTTAAAATTCCCTCTTAGTAGGCTGAGATTATCCTGAAGGTCGTCAAAATGTTGAGCTCTTGAATGCTCAATAAATCCATGACCATGAGCTTCTACATCGGCAGGAACAATCTCCATCTGGTTCTCCTCTTCTCCATCAAAATATTCAAGAACCTCAGCTATTGAATGCTCTAAGGTTCCATGATCACCAGCCTGCAGTCCTTAGGGCTCTTCACCAGCCTTAGTTGACATGCCGTTTTTGTTATCTGACATAGCAGACCATGAAACTTCATGTGGTTGGAAGCCAAATGAAAAAAAAAACTGAGTTTTCATTTTGCTTTTAGCATCTTATTGATTAAAAGGAATATTGTTATTCTTTAAGGTCTTGGATTTTAGCAGTTACATCTGCAGTGTATGTGTGCTTTATCAATGACTAAAAAATATTCTAAAGAGATACTCTCTCCTAAATCCACAACTACAATGAGAGAGAAAATCTGAAGAGATACTCTCTCCTAAATTCCATAACCACGATCGGATCTTTTACTGCAAGAAACAATGAAAGTTTTTGGGTGCACATCTCCTGTCCATAAAATTTGATTTCAAGATATTTTGATAGTTAAGGTTTTTTTTCCAATTAAATATTTAAATTTAGTTTAAAGATCAAATTCGGTACTTTTTTTTGTCTAATTAGATACTTAAATTTGACTTATTGGTTAAGTTAATACTTAAACTTAGTTTCATAGTTCAAATTAGTACTTATGATTAGGGGTGTTCAAAAATACCTAATTTGGTTGATCCGACCCATTGACATGCCGATCCGAACTTTAAAAATCGAGTAATTCTCTAAAAAAAAAAAAGATTACCTGACTCGTAATTTTTTTTTCGAGTAGTCGGGTCGGATCTGGGTCTAAAAGTTTTATGACCGGGTACCCGACCCAACCCGATAATTTTAATATATATATTAATTTTAAATTATATTTTTATTTTAAATTCCTTAATATTTTTATCTTAAAACTAAATTTAAATCCCTAAATTCTTTCTAAGTTTATATTATGTACTTTTAAGTTTTAAAATTTTCAAAAATATTTTTATTATTTTTTTCAATATGAGATTTGAAGGAAAAATCACGATTGATATTAATATTTTTAATGTTTTCTTTTGGAAATAAACTTTAATATATATATCCTTAAAATTAACTTCAAATCACTAGTTTTTGTGTATTGATTATATATTATGAACTTTTGAATTTTATGTGTTTTCTATGTATTATTTTTAAAATTTTAGAATTTTAAAAATAAAAAATATAAATTGGGTACCTGATACACTATTTTACGGGTATCTGGTACCCGATAACCGATTTAATGGGTACCCGATTAGCAGGTATCCGATTGTCACAGGCTGGGACACAAGCTGACAAATCTACTATTCGGAGAATTAGGTACCCGGTTATAAACACCCCTACTTATGATAGATGACTTATTTGAACCAGTATGGATTATAAAATCAAGTTCATGTACTTAATTGGACAAAAAAAATTAAATACCAAATTGAATCTTGAAGTTAATTTAAAGTATCAAAATATATATTTATCTTTTTTGAAAATATGTCAAAAAAGTCTTAACAATACAAAAATATCAATATATATATATATATATGTCACGTCATCACATGTTTAAAAAAATCAAGTTATTCAGAAACGAGACGGATGATAATACAATGTGTGACTTCGGTATCTACGCAAATATTTTGGAACGGGGAAGTAACAAACACTTTCAAACCAGCTCGAGGCTTAAGACAATGCGATCCATTGTCACCTTAATTATTTGTCATGTGCATGGAACGATTAGCGCAAGCAATCAACCGGGTAACAAAAGAAATATGTTGGAAACCCTTTAAAGTGTCCAAAGAAGGCCCCAAAATTTTGCACATCTTCTTCGCAGACGATATGATAATTTTTTCAAAAGCGTACATCGAACAGTTACAAGTGATTTGACAAATTTTGGACAAGTTTTGCAAAGCATCAGGACAGAAAGTGAGTATTGGTAAAACTAATATTTTCTTCTCCCATAACGTCAAAACAAGTCTAAGAAGTGAGATCAGTAGAGAATTCGGGTTTAAGGAAGTACGAGACTTGGGGAAATACCTAGGAGTGCCAGTTATACATGGGAAGGTGAGTAGGAAATCTTACAGTTACTTGGTGCAAAGAGTTCAAGACAAACTCTCCGCCTGGAAGGCAAAACAACTGACCTTAGCAGGAAGAATTACATTGGCAAAGGCTATGCTGAAAGCAATACCATCATACACAATGCAAACAACAACCATTCCGAAGAACACTTGTGCCGAAATTGAACGTGTTATTTGAAATTTTATATGGGGTCACGGGTCGGACAAAGGAACTAACAACCTTGTTAATTGGAACACCATGAGCAGTCAAATTTCGGAATGAGGTTGGGTGATAAAAAAGCTCATTCAGTAAAATGAAGCCTTCCTGATGAAGGTGGCATTTCAAATTCTCAGGGATAAGCTATGGGTTTAATTTTTACGTGCAAAGTATAGAAGGAAAGGAATCATCCCTGAGAGCATCAAGAGAAGTAACGGAACCAACCTGTGGAAAGGACTAGTAAGGATTTTGGAGAAGCTGCGTAGAGGTGTGATTTGGAACGTAGGAAATGGGAGAGAGATTAAATTTTGGACAGATGCGTGGCTTCACGAGTATGGTCCTTTAATAATTCATATAACGGCTTCAAGTGCTTAAGGAGTGGAAGAAACCTCCATAGCATCCATGGTAGATTCAAATGGGGAGTGGAATTGGAGAAAATTAGAACAATTACTACCAGTGGAAATACTTACGAGGGTAGCAGCAATACCACCCTCCACAAAAGATTTTCAAAATGACTCGATTGGTTGGAAATGGCAGGATGATAGACGTTTTACTGTAAAATCTGCCTATGGAGCATTAACAAAACAAACAACATTCGCGGAAGCACAAGTATGGAGAACAATAGAAAAGTTTAGAGGACCACAACGTATCAAAACATTCATCTGGCTCGCGGCCAGGGGAGCACTGCTTACTAATAGTGAGAGAGTTCGGAGGCATATGGCAAAAGATGATAGATGCAGTCAATGTGGATACGTGAAGGAAGATGTGGACCACGTCCTATGAAAGTTCTCGAGGATTAAAACAGTATGGCTATCACTCATTAAGGAGGAGAAATGGTCAAAATTTTTCACGTTAGGAATAACCGACTGGATACAGATAAACTTGGCAAACCCAACGTATTTCGCAAAGAACAATGAAGCATGGGACCTATTATTTGGAGCATAGTTTGGAAACATGGAAACAAAAAAAAAAAAACATTCGTATCTTCAATCTGGATTACGTAGAGAGAGAACCAATTATGGATAGAAGTCGAAGATTAGTGGCAAAAACAGAAAGAGCTGAAGCTACAGCTAAAAATCTGTGCACAAAAACTGGTTACATTCCCTAAAAGCAAAGTGGGTACCTCCCCCGATAGGGTGGGTAAAAATTAATGCTGATGGTGCGAGTAATAGAAGCAATGGTGAGGCAGCATGTGGGGGACTAAGTAGGAATGATAGAAGCCAGTGGATGTTGGGGTTCCACAAGTACATTGGAGTCTTCTCAGCGCTAGAGGCTGAAATTCGAGGAGCACTTGAGTGACTGAAGATGGCTTGGGATA